TATAATCTTCCTGTCAAAATCCATACCTAAACCATATGTTAAGAGGAAGATTATAGTTGAATAAAGAGATAATCCATCTACACAGCATCATGGTTTAGTTGTGGATATGTTAACAGGAAGATTATAGTTGAATAAAGCGATACTCCATCTACACAGCTTCATGGTTTAGTTGTGGAGTTGAATAAAGAGATAATAGAACTACAGAAATGTGCAAATTGAGGTAATGTTTAGTGACTATATTAGCCCAAGTGTTATGATGTTATTTCATTCCCAAATGGTGTTGATACTGCAATGTGATGATAACAGTTTTGGCATTGAAGCTATGCAAAACTTAAGGTTTTCTTTCTGCCCTAGAAGATGTTGAAGATGAGGAAGCATATGAAGAAGGAGATGATGATGGAGGTAGGAATATCTTGTGAACAGTTTATGTTGTGATGCTAACTCTTAGGAAGAATTAATTGCTGTCTTTTGACTTTGATTTAACTAAATCATACTTACTTTTCAAATAGTATTTTAAAGCTGAAATTAAAATATTTACTAGTAAGCTTACTGGTTTGATAGTTCTTTTGAATAATTGTAAAGTTAATAAAAATAACAGATAAATAATCAGTGTTGGAAGTAAAACATATGAATAATATTGTGTTTTTGTCTTTATCATAAAAATGAAATTGATAATAATTATAATTTACTAATGTATTCTAGTTCATATCATAACAGTTAATGCTTGTGAATGTTGATGATGATAATAGCACCTATGTAGTGTAGTAACCAGCTTGGTGACACTGGATAAGGCAGATGCAGTGTGGTTGACATATCATATTCTTATTCAGTATCATTCATACATTCTTAGAGTTATACTCAAACAATCACTGGCCCTAAAATGGCTAGAATAAAGCTTAGAATTGAAAAGAATATGTTTTTGTGATTAATGTGTACCAGTTTTGTCAACCTAATCTCTCCTGTTAACAATTATTGTGGGAAGAAACCATTAACATCTGTGTGTCATCTATACAAGAGACAACTTGGTAGCAGTATGCAAGTGATATCAGGGTTATATTATATTATATTCTTATAGCTTTGTTTAGTGAATAATTAGACAATGTCACTTAGAAGATTTATTATAAATAACATTTGTTAATTTAATTTTTAATCTGTCATGGTCTTTGATAATATAACAGTGATATTTAAAATTGTGTTTCAATACTGTTTGGAAAATTAATCTTTACGTTTTTTTTTGTTTAGTTAAATTTTTGTGTTCATTGTATAATAATTATTTCTGGTTTTAGGAGAAGGAGACGAGTGAAGAAACCGGAGACTCCAGTAGATGTTACACAACACTGCTCCGCTTAATCCTTCAAAAACACAGCTTGTAAAGTGACATTCTATCATCACATCATATTGTTCTGTTTGTTTTTCAGAAAATAAATCATTAAAGCTTTTATATTGAAATTCCACCTAAACACAACAAAATGGATTGGATCATATGAGGCTAAGCCCACTAGTGTTTTATTGGGATATACATTTTACAATAGTAAAGAGCTGTGGTCTTTAAGCCTCACTTTTATGTATTTAACTGATAAGTAAAACTCCCAAAGACAACCATCTGTATGTACAGACCGAATAGGCTCTTTTTAATTGTGGTGGTGGGGGGGGGACAATTTCTAAATCTGTGAATTTTTAATAGAAAAACAAAAGATGGGGAGTCATTGCCACTAGATATATTTTAAATAATATCTTAGTTTTGTACCATATAACTTCCTTGTACTGACAGTAATACTTTCACTTCCATAAAGAAGAGACATTTAGTGTTTCATAACTTAAAATACAAAACTTTTATGTACAGTTATGCTGGATGTTCTTCATGTTTGTAAATTTTTATATGGCTTTGCTCTACCACAGCACAGTGCATCAGATTTTTCTTGCTTGATTTTAAAAAATGTATGTTCTATCTTTTTTCTGTCTCATTTCTCACATTCAGATTCAGTGTTGAAATCAACTCATTATTACAGGTGTGGGTATACAGTTGAAGTATAGTAAACCCTTATTTTATGTATTCAAAAAGACCTTTTGCTCACTAGGTATATCATATTTAATGTTTATGGTAAATTTAAACTTTTGTCAATGATTTTTTTAAATGTCATGATTTTTCAGAATCTTTAAAACAATTATGAACATTTAGAAGTATATGTAACATCTTCCTGTATTAGGCTTACTCAAGGTAAGTTTTAAACTACAGTCATTATTGCTTTGATATTGTTTCTTTTTTTGAATTGAACTATGATTTTTGATAGTATTTGCCTTGGAAGAGTACATGTGTGATATAAATCTGAAGAAAACCATGGAAACCCCTTTTGTTGTTGGTTTACAATCTAATGTAAGATATGACTAAAATTTATAATGTATTTCATTCCAGTTTGATAACAGATGAAAGTGTAATTTTCCCAACCAATAATAATAATTACATGCCTTACTCAAATTAATAAATTGGTGGGGATGGGATTTTCTACCTGTTGTAGAATATCAAAAGTACAAAGTTTTCTATGGTATTGTTCATAACTTATCAAAACATAGACTAAGTTTTGACTAAATACTTTAAAAAAGGACATTTGATCATTTTGTGTGAAAGAACAGAGAGTTTGGATGTTCATTCAAATGGTTAAAGCAATGAATTTTTGGTAGTAATACTTTTGTCCTCTGTATGAGAAACATCTTGTTCTTAATTAAAAGTATTCAATATTTTCTTGTTTTCTTGATTTGCTAACAAATTTGGATTACTTGATGCATTAATTACTGGTGTCCAAATTTCTCCTGTTTAAAGATGTTCAACTTGTTTAGAATGTTTGCTTGTGAGATAACATGATTTAGTGGAAAAATATGATAACCTGTTGACAGTTCTGATAAACTGCTAGCTTAATGTGTGTGTGTGATTCAAATCTCTGTCATCACTGAGAGTGTTGCTGTTATAAAAGTAGATAATAATGTTGTAGAATAACAGATTTTATCCTTTTGTTCATCTTTGATGTAGCCAAGTATATATACAGTATATTTCCAAAACTGTTAAGTTTAGATTTTATGATTTTTGGTTTCTGAAAATCAGCTTTGACAATTGTACTGAATCTTAACTACTGTTATCTTTGGTACATATGGATGAAGAAGAAAAAAAGTACGCTACTTCTGTACATGTGACACAAAATAACCAATAATTGGACTTCTATAAACTTAGTCTGTTGTCAAAATTTATTAATAAATTAGCTTTGATTTTAATTTAATTTTTTAAAATATCTGACTGGTCACAACTAGCAGAGTTTTCACACAGATTTCATAAATATATATGATATACGTGTTAGTGTGTGATTCAAAGAAATTGTTAATGGTGTCATTTATTATGAAGATTCAGAGTAATCCATCCCATACAGTGCTTTCAAACCACAAATAAAATTAATTTGTATATAATGATACCATTGTTATCCCGTTTCTCAAACTATTATTACACCACTTCATTAATATCCACAGGAGATTTCTCTGGGTTTCAGATCCTCTTCGAAATACTCATGTCAGTACCATCACTTCATGTAGTGCATCTTTTTTTTTAACAATATATAATTGTGACAGGACTGGTCATTCTTTGTGTATATAATAAATCCAACCATAATATTCTTTATTTTCATTTTAATATGATTTAAGTAAACCATGAGCCTAAAGTAGTTACAGTTGAATCAAGGGGTAATCCATCTACACAGCTTCATGGTTTAGTTGTGGATACGTTAAGAGGAAGATTATAGTTGAATAAAGAGATAATCCATCTACACAGCTTCATGGTTTAGTTGTGGATATGTTAAGAGGAAGATTATACGGAGTAAACACCATACAAGACACAGAATGAAAGAGAAATATAGCCTGTATATCTTAGCAGGAAACAGGAGTAAACACCATACATGATATAGAATGAAAGAGAAATACAACCAGTATATCTTAGCAGGAAACAGGAGTAAACACCATACATGATATAGAAAACAGGAGTACACACCATGCATGATATAGAAATACAACTAGTATATCTTAGCAGGAAACAGGAGTAAACACCATACATGATACAGAAATACAACCAGTATATCTTAATAGAAAACTTTCCATCCGTCCCTTGCTCTACTGCCAACTGAAGAAGTCAAATAATTAGAGTAATTTTGGTAAACGTTCTACCAAGAAATATTTGAAATAAAAGACTAGGTGATGCAATAATCTTTTTCACCAACACTGTATTTCTTTTTCCTTTTGTGGTGGCTACAAGGTCAGAATTAGGGTAGAGAAAATAACAGTCAAATAGTTTTACTGAAACAAAAAGGTATTCATTTAAGAGTTTCTAGAGGTTATGCAAATGAAATATGAAGACTTTAATATGAGAAAAATAATTTTTAACAATGTATGAAAACCACCTTGCACTCAGGCTAGTCAGTCTGATTTAATGTGTACAAGACTTATATTGTTTAGTAAAAGCTTGCCAAATTTTACAAAGATACACTTACTACATTAACTACAGTCATCTTGACCGACCTTGTATCCAACAGGTAACCATAATGTATCCAAACTATAACTTTTAATCCTCTCTACATGAGCATCATTTACTGCACATGTCACGAGGTTTTAGTGACTTAGATTCAAAGTTTTATTAAACTACTTTTTGTTTATGATATACCAATTAGTATAGCTTAAATCATAGCTAACAATCCATTTTTAATATTATTTCAGTTTTAAGTTCTTAATTTTATAAGGCAATATAT